GGAGCAAGACAAATTTCACCGAAACTGAGTCTGGACACTTACTTTTCAGATGTCGATGTTGGTTCTTTGTGTTAGCGGTTAAGGGTGCGGAATCATATGGAAGTAAGAGAACATTAACTCTGGCTCTGGAAACAGGTGTAGTTGCGTGCAGGCGTCAGATGTCGACCAGTTATATGTTAGTTTATTAGGTGATGCTGATTTCTGGCCTCTGTTTACGGTAGGCGATCATCAGCAATCTTGAAGAATATGACAACATCCACGCTGGTTTAGCTTGTAAAGATAAAAGACGAGGGAGGAGATATTCATATTGATTGCGGTCGGTCCATCGTTTAGGCTGCCAATTAACAATAACTATCATGCGCTATCATTCCTGGTTGCCATGTGAAGCGATAACTCGATTGTCAACCCCACTGTCCTACTGGGCCCTGTACGATAACTGTCTACGATGAAAAGCCTGAGATTCCTTTCTAAATACTTTCGCATGGAGTTTGGGACTAGGTTTTATGAGGCACGCAAGGACGAGCTGCCAGTGCTTCGGGAACTGAGCCCACGGAAGGGGTGGTGGTGGCGGTGGTGTCGGCGGCGGCGGCTGCGGCTTAGGGCGTATTAGATACCGTGAGTAGTTTTTGGTTGTTTACGCGGCAGAGTTATGACTAGGTTCATTGTCATTAACCACTTACAGTTTTGTTTTAAATGACAGTATGGATATCTCGTGGTAAGAATGACAGGTCAGAAATTGGTCAGGTTTGCATTTTCCGTCAAGAAAGATCAGTCTGTTTGTGGGAACAGCGCGTGGGATTAGTAGACTATGAGCAAACAGCTCCAATTCATGCTTAACATTTTTCTTTGATTTGGAAGGCAGAGTTAAACCGATATTAAGTGCAAAAATCAACTTCTGTTGAGTGCATTTAGGAATTACCTACATAAGAAGACGGTCTTGTTTGTGGCGAAATCTGTCCATTTTAATCTAACCTAGAAAGTCATCTCAATGTCCAGTTTTCGAAATTTTAAATTGAATGTGGCTTACAATTGCAAAGCCTACACACACCGACCTTTGATTCACTCGTTTGAGATTTAACCTTGGTATAGTGGTGTATTTAGCGCAAACATGGAAGGATGGTGGCGTAATTAGTGGAAATCTTCTTGTCTCAACCACACAGCATTCAAATATTGTACTTCCAACTAGCATGATCCAACGAAATGTATCTTCTTCAAAAAAGCGTAATGTCTTAGCCATCGGCCTGCTTACGTGCGTCTTTTGAAAACTTAATCGGCAACGGTATAGAGAAGAACTCCACCTAACTGTCAGTAGACTTTGTATCGTGCCATAAGTGATTCATGGTAAAGGGAGTTTTATGGGTGGGGCAGCTGACAAAATTAAAGAAAACACAGAAACTGCCTGGATTTATGCCGAAAGTCCTATGCTATGCTCTTGATTAACTACGGAAATGAGAGTATTAGTTAGACCATAATCGAAAAGTGAATTTCACAAAACAACGGATTTTTAGTTAAGGTCTGGGGTCGTGGGAAGTAATCGTTGTTAGCAGTGTCATTTATGCGACAGCCTGAGAATGTCTGCTAAGATAAAACCCCATATGACACGATCCACAGTCTACTGACAGTTAACTGGGGTCCTTCTCTATACCGTTGCCGCTTAATCAATTCTAGTTGACATGGGAATGTGAATCGCCCCCGTAACACAGGCGGCCACGCGTTAAATTCTAGAGGGCACCTCTTCCCCCGTCCTAATTTTAACCCCAAATCTGACAACACGTCCACCGTCGTGACTGACATTATCCACTGCGCCTTCCACAGCAGGGAGAGAGCAGGAAGGGTGACTTTCGCGTGAGTTAGTTTACAGTGGTAGTAGAATTACTCAGCATG